TGTGAGAACAACCCGAGCTGATGCTACCGTCTTCACCCGAATGGACACCTAGTCAATCATTTTCATCATTCGGTTCTACCGGTTTGCACGGGCCCAAATGGTTGTTGGAAGGGTGTTAAAATTGCAGGCAGGGGCTTCTAGGGGGGTGGGCAGTCCTTACAGGCACAGGACCAGTATTGGCCATGGTCCTGGAAAAAAAACGAAACAGCGCGCGGTCCCCAGGGCCTGGACTTAGGGCCTCATTCCACACCACTTCACTTCAGAAATACTTGAGAAATTCCTCGTTCCACACTGCACTGCACTTGAGTTTCACCTTCCCTAATCGCGATTAGGCTTCCCGCCTCTCCCGGCGCCCGCCAAAAACGTAAAGTGCGGCTCAAGTGCGGCCCAGGCGAATAGGTGATTTTTTCAAGTCACCTCTCCGGGCACACTTGAGCCGCACTTCAAAACGGCGCAAGTGAGAGCCAGGAGGCGGTTGTAGGCGCTGCACATTCCCCCCGTTTTTTCTTTTTTTTGTTTTACATCACCCCTTCCCTCGCGCCAACAGCCTCTGCCACTTTCCCGCTCCTGTTTCGAGTGTGGAGTGGAGTGTAACGTCGAACCGTGCCAGGCTCAAGTGTTTTTTAATGACGATTACCCTGTGACGCAGCTCGAGTGCCGCACTTGAAATTGAAGTGGAGTGAAGTGGTGTGGAACGAGGCCCTTAGTCCACTCTCTCGAATAGGAAGGCACTTTGGGGCGTTGCATTAGATAACAACGCACGTTCTTTCTATTCGAATTTCGAAAGGAAAAAAAGGTTGTATTCGAATAGAACGTTCCCCCTCCTTTTTTGGAGGTCAGCGCCAGCCCCGTCGCTAACACGCTGCACGCTGCAGTGTTCTCTCTCTCTCTCTCTCTCTGTTACATGCACAGATATGCCATGTACGTAATAACCGAGGATCTGCAATGTGATGAAAAGGACAGAATGAACAATGCAGTGCGAGTCGAATCTCGACAGACAATGTGCATTCTCATACATACAAAAGGTGCTGAATAGCGCAGGGAAGACTTTGATACAAGGACTGACCTGACAGGGACTGACCTCACTCACGTAGTAACAAGTAGCAAAGCAAAATGCTAAAATACTGATAACGAGCCCAATCAATGTTTGAACCCAGACCAAACATGCATCATACCCATCACCGAGTGTGAGGGAGCCTGGCGCTGTACACAGGAAGAAGCGCCAAGTTCAGACATACACAGACGAAGAGGTAGGGAACAGATGGAAGGAGGGAGAGTGATGGGAATGTCGTTAACACCAAGTCTTGGTCAACAATCCCAAATAATCCCTCGTTGCCTTGCCCGAAGTGCCCAAAAGTCGAGTCTGGATCCAATGTCACCAAGCTCTGTCTCTCTTCTCTCGCAGTCTGCAGATGCAGTGAAGTCAGATGTTGAGAGGGAGAGAAGAAGATGGTGGACTGAGAAGAGGAAGAAGAAGACTCTCTCTCTCACTGTTACGAACCAGATACTAACCTGTGATGTGGGCACTGTGCTGCAGGTACCTCGAAGACGAAGCTGGAGCAACAGCGCTGCAGGTAAGTACTCCTGGCCTCCGCCCAAACTCTCTCTCTCTCTCTCTCTAACACTATCCTAGCTATGGCGCCAGTGCTGGAGACTACAGCTACCTACTGCGCCCAGCGCTGAAGACTATAAGCTAACGCTACCACTACTACAACGCAGCGCTCCCTCCAGAGTGCTGCTCCCGAATCCTGAAGACTACTACCTCCTGAATTCATCGTGAAGTGCCTGGGGGGGTACCTATATACTTCCACGGCCTGCCTCCTACGGGCCAGCCAGGCGGAGGAGGCTGCTCTTGCCAATCCACGGCCTGCCTCCTGACTGCCTAAAGGGCCAGCCAGGCCGAGGAGGCTGCTCTTGCCAATCCACGGCCTGCCTCCTGACTGCCTGAAGGGC